ACAAAATGAAGAATATCCTCAACAACATTTACGATTGAAGTGGACGGACTACGAGGAATAAGCGAACCCACGCAAGGGAGAGAATTTCACGAAATCGCGGACTACAGACATATTTTTATTACATATTTGTGTGGTGAACAGCAGATGGGGTCACGAGGACCTGCTGCTCCGTCATGGAAACCGGTAACCTGAGCCCAGGGACTTGAAATGGCGAACCACATAAGACCCCGCTAGGTTAGGCGTGGTATTGAACTGCACGACAACAAAGCTGCCTACCACCTAGATGGCGTGTGAAAATAAAGGTATCACGACAACGGGCTGATTAGCCAAGAGAGGGAGATAGAGACAAACCCAAGAAAAAACAAGGATGCAGGTACACTGTCGAAACATAACAGTTAATCAGACTGAAAGAAATCATTTATGAACGATGCAGCACAGCTTTGGGAGATGAAGAGAATATGGTGGCTGATCACATATGTATTCTGCATTTCCGACTACAGATATTGATAACAATGTGAAGAAAAAGCTCCCGATTTTATTTCTGGTGTGAATAAACCAGGTTTATTACAAGCAATAGTTGTGGAGAGTAAAAAAGCGAGGAAACGACGACCACTAGGATCTGGGACGCAAAAATGAACAATGGCAACTTTAATCACTGGACGGAGGAGTAAACCGAGAAAACAGAGTTAAAATTTGAAGGGATTAGATTCATAAAGGAATCGCTGAACAAGTAAAAGACAATGCAGTGCGATCTATTCACACTTCGTCTATCATCAACACAAAAACACTGTGCATGGCAGGAAACAGAACAAAAATACACACACGGATGGGGGGGGGAGATACGGTATGTATTCACGTGGCAGGTGTAACAAGAGGTGCGAGTGGTTGGTCACGAAATGTGCATGTAACGGTCAAACAACAGGACAGGGGAATACCGTAAAAACTACGGTCACGTTGTAAACAAGATGAACTTGACCGAGCAAATAAGTTATAAGAAGGATAGAAAACTAACTACTTTTTCTTAGTTTATTTCTGAACTCAGAGTATCGCTTTTGTTTGGTGGCCGAAGACCGTTGTTTTCGACTAAACAATGTGTAGCAAACCGGAGCTGCTTATTTGGGCTTACAAATACCACAGGTATCACAAATTCACTACCAATGCGGGTGTGCGACCTGTTTTATCGCGTAACAGTCAAATCACTTTCATAGATCTAGTAACATGGTTATGCAGAAATCATAAAGGTAAATAGAAGAAAAGAACTCTTCATTAGTGGTGAAGAGATCGATTGCTACAAACGACAACCGTTCGGTCTTGCAACCAATGAATGATAGAGGATTCGAGTGCGCGGATTAGATATTCTTTACTCTAAACGTTTTTCATACAAAGATTAAATTCCACCGGCGTTCGACAACTGCAGTCAAGCTTGAGGTGACGCCCAGTACTCCACTTGTTCTCCCCTCAACCGTATGCCATTTATCTGATCGACAAACTGCTCTAACCTCAAATTTACATTCGGTTTCCCGTTGCCCGGCAGTTGCTTCGTTACTTGTTATCTACCGCTACTATTCTGGTTTCTCTGCTTCTGAACTCGCTTTAACTCGTCCCTTTGGCGAACATCTGGTTCTCAGGACAGCAGTCTTCTTCATCAGGTTCCAGAAGGCAAACTTGCATATTTCAGTCCTCTTTTTCCCTTAGGACCGAGAAATCGTGGAACACTCTCCCCACCTCTACAGTTCCAGCCACTTATAATCCTACACTTTTCAAAAGCAGGATCAATAAATGGGTTCTCATCTGAATACCTTAACCCTGAAGTATAACATTCCCTATGGGATTTGCACCTTTTGCTATAAATCACTCAATATGCAGTAAAAGATGTAAGGAACGCCATAACTTGGAGGACAGAGAATTGCAGAGAATTCGTGCGGGAACCAGTGACAAGAGCAACAGTACAGCCAAAAAATATGCTAAATGGAAATCGAGATGAGACACGATGCTTCTATAAAAAGAGGGATGCTGTCTGATTTGACAG